TTGGTAGCGAAAAATGATATCTAACCTAACTTATGTAATATCTACCTATCGTCTATTGAGGATGTTTGTCTGGTAGCGTATTGGATCCAGTTTGTATTTAGGGCTACTTGGGAGAGATTTAAAATAAAAATAAATATCAAGAATATTTACGCCAATTATGTTTATTTTTTTAATTTTAACAAAATCAATTTTGTTCTGATTTTTTTTTTAAATCAGAATAGCAGAAAGGTAACCGTAAATTACGAATAATAACTAACCTAATCATACATCCTACTCAACTACCTATTTACGARTATCTACCTATAGAAAACCATCTGTACAAATTACAAGTATACAGCAAAACGAGTTCCCTGGTTTTTTTTCTCTGTGTGAATTATTGGAGTAAACTTGAACGAAATTAGTAAAATATGTTATAAATTGTTAAAATTTTAAACTATTATGAATTTTGTTAATCGCAACTGCCATGCATGAAATGTTAAGAATTTTGCTATTGTACGGTAATTATATTTTACACGTGATTGTGTTCTCCAAGACAGATATGTCTTCTTTAAGGTTAGTCACTGTTAGAATATTAACACAAAAATATACAACTTTTTTTTGTTTACATACAATATTTTTATTAATTAAATTAAAACTAATATTCAGGTGAATATAATTACTTATGTAATTAAATAGCTTACTAAAATTATAAGTATAAGTAAAATATTTATTCATTCTTCGTTATTAAAAACTGAAATTGAATATTAAAATTTTGATTTTAATTTTCTAAAAATAAAAATATTTTTAGTCCCTTATATGAAGTATATTATTATGTTAAATTTAATTATGTTTAATATACCTATATTTTATTAAAAACATTCAGGAAGATTTTGTAAAAAAGTGATGCTACTCAAACAATCAAACGTGAGACAAAAATTGATAAAAATATATATGATTAATAAATAATAKTTAAGAAAATATATGCTCGCGTGTCAAAAAAATATTGATATTTAACAAAAAAACAATAATTAACTATTTAACTACTAGACTACTCTTATAATCAGTTTTACAAATTGGCTATTTTGAAATGTTTCAAAAAAAATTTAAATTCCTTGTTTTCAGTATAGGACCTTCCTTATAGCAAAAGTTACAGTAAATTTTATAAAAAAAAGTTTTAAATATTGATTARAACAAAAGTTATTTCATCAGTTAGGTTTACACTCAGTATACCTAGCTATTACCTACATAGCTATATAATTATACGCTATTTATATTATATGCCTAATACGAGTTATCTTAACGATTTGTTTTTCTTAATRATTTATAAAAACCACGTCTCAAAAAAAATGTATAAGCTATAATGAATCTATTAAAATATGATTAGTCTATTCCCTATGTACTTATATGTAAACAAAATAACATTTTAAATGCGGTGACAAAATAATTTTTTTTTTATGATTAAAATAATATTATTATTATTTATTTTAATTAAATCGTATCGATATGATTTTGCTATATTTGAAACTATATTGTAAAAAAACACACACTCAAAATAAATAATGGAACCAAGGACATCAATTAGGCTTTTTTAAACTTAGCAATTTCCTAATATTTTTTAAAATTATTAATTATATTTTTTCTCAATTAGTGTAAGCTTTTGAGTAATTTACCCATTAAGTGATAAATTAGTATTGGTAATCTATATATAGCTACAAATAAGATATCACTAAAAAAAAGTTAAATTTATTGTTTATGTTCTGTATTACTACCTAATCAATATTAACAAAAAGTTATAGGCAAAAATAATAATATTAAAGTTTAATAAATATTAAAATAGGTATACATCAGGTGTCGTTAGTTCGTTACAGAAAAAAAATTTGCATAGTCAATTAATTTGTCAATTGTTACGTACACATATTATAATGATTTTACAATTGTCAATTAGTCTGTTACAACTTAACCATGGTGAGGTATATTAAATGCAGATAGGTAACACCATTATAGTATCAGCGTATTATATACGCGATGACAAAAAAAAAAAAAACATAGGAAATGTTTTTTAACATTCAAAATATTAAAATAAAGTATGTTGTAGGAAATGCCATACAATATTCAAGAAATTATCTAATACATAACAAAGAAATATTTGTAATTTTAAATTTGGAAATTAAGAGCAGTTCACCCAAAGATAAATTGTTAATTATACTTGTTGTTACACTGTATTACTGTATACATGTAAACATCCTTGGGTTAAATTGTTGTTTTTATGTTTTTTTTTGTATATTTATTTATATTTTACTCCCTCTCAAGCAGAGAAACACATTATTGTTCTTGTTCATCACGATCAAATCTAATGAAAATGCATATCTTGTCCTCGTAAAATAGATTCACCTGATGAGGTATTATATACACTTGGTCAACAACCATTAATATTAATTAGTGATTGCTCATTCATGAAATTACCGGATATAGGATTAGTATCTAGTGTCTATTCGAGTGTATAACAGTGATACAGATATAAAATCGACGTTATATTAAACATATATATATATATAATATATGTATATCAAGATCGTCATGAGTATATTGCATTTAAGGTAATTACTAATTTATTGTACGGTTATGCTAAATTTTCAAAAACAACAGATATTTAATTATTAAATTAGTGACATTTTAATTGAATTACAGTGTAACATTGACCAAACTAAATCAAAATCGTAATCATTTTTAAATCGGCTGTTTTTTCGATATTCAAAACTTATCGTTATATTACTATCACTAGGAACTATTTAAATATTTATCATATTATACCTGTTGTTATAAATTCGGCAAATTGGAGTTTTTAGTGTTACTTCCAATGCTTTTTTTCGTAATTTGTCCACTATAATCAACGTTCCACTGCAGTTTGCTGACATTGCAGCGAAAATCAATAGTATGACAATAAATGTATTCTACAACATTTGATAA